ATTGCCTTGTGGCTAGAACTCATTCTGACCTGGCCAAACTCATTTTATTGCCTCTGTTAACTCTTACCTAGTGCTTGAGATTTATAATAGTTATTAATCATGCTAACTTGAAAATCATCTCCAGTTGCTATATGGTATTGTCCAGAATGATTCATTTGACTCCTATTTCCCTAAACCTGGATTTTTCTTGCTTTCATAGAAAAAAGGAAAATGTTATGATCTGCCCTGAAAGGCAGGACCACTGTGAATTGTGACAGGGACGGGGCTGCTGGATGTTTCTTACAAGCTCCCAGGGGTTTTGAGATTTAAAGAAATGCAGAGGCCATTAGAAATGGGTAGCCAAGATCACCAGCTTAGAGGGCAGGGTGTGGTCCTGTTTGAGAGTGTACTGGCACTGACAGTAGTCTATAAGAATGTGTAACTCAGCCCGAGAGCTCTGCAACAACCTGAATCTGGTCATTGGCACCTTGCAGCTTGTGGCTTTTTCCCTAAGGGGGTGGGATGAGTCCTTGCTTTGCTGTGTCCTAGCCATGAACCTTGGGGATTTTTTTCCCCTTAACTTTCGCCTCCTTGAACCTGGATGGCTCTTGACACTGGCCATGCTAACAATCTAACAGAAAGGAATGGCTAAACGAACATAGCCTAATCCTTGGTTCTAGCCACTGGGCATGCCTAATTCATCCTCAAATCATCCTTTGGGAGCCACAAAGAGCAAATTAATCACACTCCTGTGAGTTTAAGTGGCAGCAGCAAGAAGAAGGAAAGGTAAATAGCACAGAAATTGAACCCAGAAAGGACAGGAGGCAGGAAAACTGTCCAAAACATACCTGGGGTAAAGAATCTGCACAGAGATTAAATTTGATCGAAGACTGGGACAACAAAGAGTGGGGTCCTGGGTATATACAACCACAACGAGTAAGATATGCAACATTTGGGGGATGGACACGCTTGAGACTCTTACCCGAGGAGGGAGGGGGGCATGGGCAATATATGTAACCTTAACATTTGTACCTCCATAATACACTAAAATAAAAATAAAAATAAAACAAAGAGTGGGTTCCTATTGGAAGGTCACCAAATGCTGTGGCCCCACTTGCTGTTAAGGCAGTTACAAGGTATGTTCGTACAATCATTGACATAATATTAAACAAAACCTTGAAAGGGTGTGGCTTGTGGGGCTTTGGCTACAGTTAGGCTCATTTAGAAGATGTGGGGTCAGGGACTTTAAACTTTCAGAGGCCCAAGCGGCTGCCTAGAGTGCTGCCTGGGAAGATAAAGGAGGTGCTTTTATAGATATCTGGATGTGTGAGGTGTTAAAATCACCCTTCAGCCTCCTCACAACTAGAGAAGAGAAAAAAGAATGTGAAATAAACAGGCAGTGCCCAGCAGAACTGAAAGTGAGGAGAGATGGAGCCTAAACACAAGGTAAAGTCTATGGGGGGAGTTTTACCCATAGAATTATGCTCCTGATTTGGAAGCATGTTAGGAAGTTTTTATGGGTATCCATCATCAGACTCTAAATGCCACCATTCGGCAAATACTTACTGAGAGCAAAGGCCTAGTCCTGAAGTTTCCAATTCTAGCGTAAATATCATGTAAGAAACTTGTTTTGAAATGCAGATTCCCAGGCCCAGCCTTCCAGGATTCATTCAGTGTGTTGGAGCTGGGTTCTGGGGCTCTGCATTATCATCAGGAAGCTCATGGGACTTGGGACCAGTGGCTCTTGGACTCCCCTGGCTGCTCTGTATAAACTAACCTTGGTCTTCTCAAAACTTAGCATCCAAGCATCCAATCAAATTAGAGACTTGATTGGTAAAAATACAAACAAAACAGTATTCTTCTGCTACCTCTTATTTGTTGTTTTTGATGTTGTCTTGCTACACTACTGAATTTTTCACCTTGGAATTCTTTGGCCTATTTACTGAAGAACAGGAACTTAGTCTGGAATAACAGAGGTTATCAGAAGAAACAATATATAGATTCCAGATCTGATTTTTTCAGCAATTTGTCATTGGAGCAAAAGCCTAAGGGACCCTGCCAGTATCTGCTCAAAAGAGGGAAGGAGGGACAGATAAAAAGGGAGGTGATTTGCAAGTTATCCTTTCCTTTTAAAACTTCCTCTCAAAATTTCCTTCCAAGATTTAAAGATTAAGCACCTTTCTTCCAGAGAAAGAAATTGCTGGAGCCTCAAAGATCCATTAGATTCATTAGTCGCTTTAAATTTTTTTGACCAGACCTCTATTAAAAATACATTTCATATCACAACCCAACACACACACACACACAGAAACACACACACATATATATGTGTTGTGTGTGTGTTTATATGAGCATGTATGGAAAATGGAAACAATCATTTTATGAAATATTACTTACCTTTACCTTGTAAAATGCATTCTGATATTTTCTATGTTTGCCCCTTTCTTTGCTTTTCTTGCTTGATCTCCCTTCTCCTCTCTCTCTCTCTCCCTGAATCCTTTCTGTCTTTTCCTTAATGATAGTTATAACAATATAAATGGTTTTTCCCTGCTGTTTGAAAATGCTGGGGTAGGTGTGCAATTCCAACAGTTTTGAGTAGGAAAGAAGGTGAGAGAAACTAGAATTGGAAAAGAAGTTTGTTCACTAATTTTTTTTCTTTCTTCCTCAGGCAGTAACTTCCTTAACTTATCCATTGTCTACCTTAGCTACGGCAGTATACACGTCCTGCTTTTACTGTCTTAGAGACTGATATTTCAAAACATTGGGAATTCTTAGTGGAATCTATTAATAAACAAATGAGTCTTTACTTCTTACCACCTGACCTCCTCACTGTCTTGCATGTGGCATCTTCACTTCTGCTCAGGTGTCTTTATCTCTTAACCTGGAATTCCAGTGGCCCACCAAATCACACTCTTTGCCTACTTCTCTTACCTCCTGGGTCACCAATGGAAGTCTGTGCTGATTCTCCTAGACCTTGAAGGCTACTGAAGGTATAAGGGAGAACTCTCCATTTCCTAGAGTACTGCTCAGTCAGGTGCAAGCTGTATCAAAGGAAAGATAACCAGTGCTGTTATTTTCATCACTTGTGAATGAAGTAAGAGATTCTCATGACTTTAGATACTCATAATCAACCTTCCTTACCCAACTAGCAAGCTTCAATTTCATTGCAACCGTTTTATTATGTGCAGTAAAAACATTCACAATTTTTTTTTTTTTTTGCTGTTCTTGATCTGAGTGTTTGGCCTTGAAACATATCAAAGAAGTCAACTTTGTGAGTCACTTTTCATCACAGAAAGGAAAAATTCACCTTAGTACTACCTTTGTTGTGGCAACTTTTCATCTCCATAAAGAAAAACAGCAATCCAATTCAGAATTTGAATGGTACCCAGTATCCTTCCCACACATATCAAAAATGTCTTCACTGGCTTTTTAAAAAAACTATCAAATTTTTGCACTAGGCAAACTTTCTTCTAAGACATCTTCATTATAAATATTTTTAATATATTTTATAAATATAAAATACTTTAATATAAACATTTTTAATGGTAAATTATCAACCTCTACATTTCTATCCAGCTCTAAGCAATGAGTTGGTTTTGTCTTAGTTTTTTTGAGTATACGATTGTCATCCCCTGAATGCCTGAGAACAAGGAATATATCAAAGGCAATTGGGATCACATCAAAAGGGCATAGGCACTAATTTGAAAAGGTTCTCGTTGACTAAATATGGGGCAATATGAGCATTAAAAAATAATAACAATGATAGCAATACACTGAAGCACACCAAATACATAAAAGTCCATCAGTTCCTAAGGATGTTCCAAAACAGAAAGTCATTTTCCACCTCTGGAGTTTGCTAGGATATCAATTCACTTAACCTGAAAATTAATAAAGAAAAAGTGAAGTATGAAAATTAACTGCTTGATGATATTTTTAATACATATCTGCAGCCTCTGTGTGATCAAAATAGATTTGCCCATGTTTGCTGTTTATGGCTTCACTACATTTATGTGAACTTAGCCTTCTAAGACAATTCTGAACCTAACCTTGCCTAATTTTGCTTTTTCTATAATTTCATATAAATAAAATCATTCAGTATGGTATTTTGTATTTGACTTCTTTCATGCATCATTTTGGTTTTGATATTCATCCATGTAGGAATATTGTTCCTTTTATTGTTGAGTACTATTCCATTGTACGTGTTTACAATTTGTTTACCCATTCACTAGTGCTTTCTCTGTATCTGTTAAAATGATCGTTTTTACACTTTATTCTATTAATATGGTAATTACATGGATAGATTTTTAGACAGTAAAGCAACTTTGCATTTTTCAAGATAAACCTCATGGGTTATGATGTATTATCCTTTTAAACATTGTTGAGTTTGAGTTCCCAAAATTTTATTGATGGCTTTTGTGTCTATGTTTATGAGGGATATTGGTCTGTAGCTCTCTTTTCTTTTGAGATCTTTTACTGGTTTTGGCATCAGGGTAAAATTGTTCTCATAGAATAAATCCAGAAGTATTTTTGGAATGCCTGTTTAATGCCTTGCATAACTTTGAGAAATATTCAGTTATGCATAAAGTGTGGCATGACAGGTGTCATTTAAATACACATTTCAAAGATAAAACTTATAATCACAGACTTTAGAAAACTAGAGCTAAGCAATCTTAGGGACTATTGTCATTGTACATGTAGAGGGGGAAACCGAGACCCTTAGAAATTGCTAGACTCTTCCAGCACAGAGTACACTCTTTACAGGTCTCTATCATATAACATTCATTACAAATCTTTATGGGTATAAAGTACCTGCTGTGTATATATTTGCATTATGAAGTTATCGTGTCCATCCAAACTCTTTTTCCTTCTTATTAAGGCGCACACTTTTCTCATTAACACAAACCAAAGAAGGACCAGCAAAAAAACAATGAAACTCCAGAATTGTGTGACCTGAGGGCTACTAGTTGAACTGGGCATGCTCAGTCGCCAGGCAGATTTTTCAGTAAAGTAGAAACTACAACAGCGCGTACCGTGCGCGCGGAGGTGGGCGTGTCCTCGTGGAATTTAGAACGTTGCTTCAGCCAATGGGGCCTCGCGGCCGGCTGGCGGGGCTCCTCATTGGAGCAGCGGACAGGCGAGCGGCGGGCCCCGGGAGGGAGCCGCGGAGGTGCAGGTCGGAGAGGCCGGGCTACGCCGTGCCCTGCGCGTGAGCAGCTGCGGCGGCGGAGGCAGCATCCAGCGGCGGTGCCAGCACTTCCAGCCCGTTGCTTTACTTTTTGCTGCACCAACATAGTCATTATGCCGAAGAGAAAGGTAAGTCTTACCAAAAGAGATTTCCAAGGCCTTCAAATTGTGCTCACGGCACGTCCTGTCATTGCAATGGATCGCGCAGAATGCGCGCGGTGGTAACTCGGGAATCGGGGACGTCTCTGCTCCTCCGCGCTGCGTTTCAGATGCCTGTTGCAGGCATTCCTTTCCACCCCGCCTCCCTCCCTGCGTCCTCACCGATCTCCGAATGTTACTTTCTCTCCAGCGGCGCGGCTTCCCCTCTTTAGGAACTCATTTTCGCCGGAATGGTTTCCACCCCCGACGAGAAAGGAGCAAAAGCGGCTTTCCATTACCCCTTCCAGAAGGGGAGTTTCCTCTTCGCAAACTGCCAGGTCGTGGTTAGTGCGGAAGGAAAGCCGAGAGAGGAGAAAAACAAGTGCAGACATAGGGAGATTGGAAAGGAAAAGAAAGAAATCGGGCAGATGTTGGGATTACCCCCATGGGGGCTGTGCGCACGGCCGGGCGCGGCGCGGCGGCTCCGAGGCGAAGGGAGACAGAAAGCCATGTTTTAAATAGCGCTCACCCCCCTGCTCGCCTCCGCGGCAGACCCGTATGTACCAACTCCAGTGTCAATCAGGGCTGGGGACGGCGCAGGCGGGGCCCGGGCGGCCTGGACCTGCCCGCGGTCCGCGGCGGAGTTGGCGGCGCGCGAGGCGGGACGGCGCCAGGGCCGCCCAGTACGGCCGGTCCAAGGTCAGGGGCCCCCAGGTCCTGTCCAGCGGCTCGGTCCCGCACTCGGGCGGCAGGGCGAGCGCCCCTCCGTGCGTTTGGGGAACTGGGGTCCTTTTAGTCTCCTCTCCCGCCCCCTCTGGACTGTGTCCCCTTCCGCGCAGGCCCGGGACACCAAGTACGACGCACGGGGACACAGATCCCCCTCAGGGTCTAGCTGCGACTTGGCCTTGTCCCAGGGAGGGCGAGGGAAGGCTTTCCTCTTCCCTCCTAAAACCAGTGTGTGGTGGCTGGTTCCTAAGAAGACGCTTTCCACCCTCCCACCGCTTGCCCCGGTGTTTCCAGCAGTGTCAACTACTGTGGATATTAAATATGAAGCAAAATTATTCGTAATACCCTGCTTTATCAGTTAAAGACTAAGGACTCATTTGTGTGACTGCATTATTAAAAAATATTTAAGTTTTGGAAATTCAGAAATTTTTGCCTTAAATGTCATTACTAAGAATTTGGTAGAAACTTGACTCCTACTTTTTTTAAAAAAAAAAAAACCATAATAATGGAAACAGTTTTTAAAACTCTTAGAGTTTGTTTTGCACGTACTGTGCGCCTCGTACTGTACAAAGAGTTTGGCTTGTATTATCTCATTTAATTCTCAGAACATCTTGAGCAGCGACATCCTCTTTGAACTGGGGCTTAGAGACATAAGTTGTCCAACATCTCACCCACCAATAATAGCAAAGATTGAATCAGATGCTGTAGATCCCAGAGTCCTTACTATCAATCACTGTTTCCTCATTCTCTGTATTTAGTGGTGGGTGGGTCAAGAGGAATTTAGGAAATGCAAAGAGACTCCCAGTTTAAGAAGATGGATGGCATATTAAGAGTACTAATAGCTGATTTATTATTTAAACTTAATTTTATGAAAGTACTATTTTTTTCAGCACTATTATACTAGAATGAGGATATTCAAATGATGCCACTATATTCAACATTTTATCTGAGAGTTTATGATGGTTTAGGAATTTTAGTAGAATCAAAGGAACTAATCATCAAGAAATTACTTACAAAGTAAGTCAGTTGGGGTCATCTCTTTTCCTGGGAATTATTAACAAAATATTTAGATAAACAGTAGGTTAGATGTGCACACTATGTATAATGGACTCTGACTTGGTGAACAAGGAAGGGCCAACCCACCAAGGGCCAGAGTTGGTGAAACCATTACACTTATTTTGCCTCACTGTCCACCCCTCTCCAGTAGACAGAAGGGAAGAAAACAAGAACAGTAGAGTAACTGACTTTTGATTATGGTTTTAGTTCCCTGGAAGGCAGGGAACTCCCATGAATAAACTAGCCAACTGTCCTGGCACTAGGGGAAAACCTGTGAGTCATCTTTCAGGACATCTGAGTGTTCTTCAGAGATGGAAAACCTCTCCTTGATTAATAGGAAAGCTTTTCATTCATACCTGGAGCCCAAAGACCTGGGTTGGTCCCTGGGCAGGAGCAGCCACAGGTAAAACATGGCTATCATGGCCATCCCATTTATCAGTCAAATCTTAGAGCTGCCTCATGGAATCCTGGAGTTATATTAATATAATTTCAAGGCCATAATATCATCTGCATTAATATAAAAGGTTTTTGTGACATTTCTATGTAAATTTTATGTGTATCTTTGTGGGTGATAGTTGTAGCTATGTTAAACCAAATGGTTTTCTATAACTTTCATAAATTTTTATTTTTTGAAGCAGTACAAAACTTCATAGTGAGAAGTTCTTCAGTGCATGTTAAGCTCTTTCTTAGTTTGTAAGGAATAAATAAAGTTGAGTTTCCTGTATTATGTAATGGGTAGTGAATGAGTGGAAGAGCAAGGGAAATGATAACAGTAGTGGATTCAGGTGGTGGTGGGACAATGAGTAACTAAATTCTAGACTGTTCAGGTCAGACATCCACAGATGCCTCCATTGGTCATGTCGTTATGTGATGATCTGATGTTCTGCAAAGAGGCACCAGCCGGTGAGGCCTACAATCCAGGCCTACAGTCCTGGCATGATTAGCAACAGCAAACACATTTTCACATCCACCTTATTTTTCCAGTTCCTTATCACTATTGTATCACATCAAATTCTTTAATGAGTCAATTTTCCATGAATTTGGCATGTAAACCATAGTGTCTCTTTACACTTAAAGGTTTAAGGAAGGAAAACCCATCTGCCTCTAGCTTTAAAATTTGAAAGTAGGTTTTTATCTGTTTTCTTAAAATGAAGGCTCAATATCATTGGGCTTAGCATATGGGATTCTTAACTAACAATGCTCAAGGTTTCTGATAATCTTTCAAAAGAATATTACTTGTCATAACACCCAAGACAGAAACTGTAAATGAAAATATAGATAAATTTGGCTATGAAATTGAATATTTTAAAGTGGCAAAAAAAACCACTCAACAAAATTTTAAAATTTATGAAAAACGGGAGAAAAAATATTTATACCACAATGCACTGAAAAAGTTTGGTATTTTAAAAAGATTACATCGCATGTGTCCTTATGGAAAAGTTGTTTATTATAGGAATATAACAAAGACTCAAGTAGGCGAAAATATTTGGTTTTATTAGAAATCAAAGAAATGTGCCTTATTAAGAATGTACATATTACATATTGAGAATAATGAGATGTGATTTTTTTAAAGACCCAATTTAGTTTTAAAAAGACTAAAAGTATTATTGCCCAGTGGTGAGGAATATAAAACACTCAACACTCTCAATTATGAGAGTATAATTTCCTTGAAAAAATTTACAGAAGTATAATGTAATTACCACAAAGCCTATTCATCCATTCAAAGTATATAATTCAATTATTTTCAGTAAATTATAGAATTGTGCAAACATTATTACCATAATTCAGTTTTAAAACATTTCCATCATCCCAAAAAGATCTCATTGTTTACAGCCAATCCATACTCCCAGCCCCAATCTACTTTCTTTCTAGATTTGCCTTTTCTGGAAATTTTATATAAAAGAAATCATACAATATAATCATACATATAATCTTTTGTGTCTGATTTCTTTCAGCATAATGTTTTTGAGATCCATACATTGTAGCATGTATCAATACTTCATTCTTTGTTGTTATTCAGTAATATTCCATTGTATGGATATACCACTTTTTATTTAACCTTTCACAAGTTGATGGACATTTGGATAGTTCCAGGTTTGGTTTATTATAAATAATGCTGCCATGAATATTTGTATAAATCATTTCAGGGACATATATTTTCATTTTTCTTGGGAAAATTTCTAAGATGGTATGAAAGTGGTATGGAAGTCTATGTTTAACATTTTAAGAAACTTCCAGCCTGTTTTTCAAAATGCATAATGATTCCTGTTTCAAGGTACTTGTTTATACTATCAGTTTTTTTGCTTATAGACATTCTAATGAATTTTAATTTATATTTCTATAATAGCTAATGATGATGAGCACCTTTTCATGTATTTACTAGCATAATGTATATCTTAGGTGAAATGTCTATTCATTCAGATATTTTGCCCTTGTTTTAAATTGGGGCTTATTTGTCTGATTGAGTTGTAAGAGTTCTTTATATATTTGGATATAAATCCTTTATCATGTATATTATTTGTAGATATTTTCTTCCAGTCTGTGGCTTTTAAAGTAAAAAAGAAATTTTTTTTTTAAAGTCTCACTCTGTTGTCCCAGGTAGAGTGCAGTGGCATCATCATAGCTCACTGCAACCTCAAGCTCCTGGGCTCAAGCAATCCTCCTGCCTTAGCCTCCTGAGTAGCTGGGACTACAGGCACACACCACAACGCCCAGTTAGTTTTTCTGTTTTTCGTAGGGATGGGGTCTCACTTTTGCTCAGGCTGGTCTCGAACTCCTGAGCTCAAACAATTCGCCTGCCTGAGCCTCCCAGAGTCAACGTTGGGGTTACAGGTGTGAGCCATTGTGCCTGGCCAAAAATTTTTTTCTTAATGGCGTCTTGAAAAACGAAAGTTTAATTTTGATGAAATCTATTTACTATCACATCTAATAAATCTTTGCCTAATCCGAAGTCACATATATTTTCTCCTAGAAGTTGTATAGTTTTAGCTCTTATATTTAGATCTGTGATCCATTTCGAATTAATTTTGTGTATGGTATAGAATAAATTTAAATTTATTTATTTATTTTGTGTGTAGAAGTCCAGTTATCTCAGCACTGTTTGTTGAAACAGACATGCTTCACTGAATTGACTAGCCACCTGTTGAAACTAAATTCATCATAAATATGAAGCTTAATTTTTGTTTTCTCAATTATATTCCAATATCTAT